GAGAGCAAGTTCCTGTTTCCTCCCGCTTACATAATCTCTCCACCCAGCCTTCTGACTTCCTATCTGCCTATACAGACCTCCAGACCTGTATAGTTAGCTGGTGGCAAGATCCATCCTCTGATCTTCAGACAAGCTTTATTTGTGCAAGCAAGGTATCACCACATGCCCCCCTTTTTTTGTCTAATTTTTAAAAAAAGTTATAACTAATATAAGAAAAACTATATATAACAAGTATATACAATATATACAGGCATGCCAAGTGGTGGTGGCACACACCTTTAATCCCAGCACTTGGGAGGCAGAAACAGGTAGATCTCTGTGAGTTTGAGACCAGCCTGGCCTGGTCTACAAGAGCAAGTTCCAGGACAGCCTCCAAAGCCACATAGAAACCCTGTCTCAAAAAAAAAGGGGGAAAAAAACCCAAACAATATATACAGGCACTAACTATATTAACAATGTCTAGTCCATTAGCATTTGACAAATTCAGAGAAAATATTCTATTATCTATTCCTTCTTGATGAGTTCAAAGTCTTGCACCTAATTCACATTCTCTATCCTAATTCCCATTATCACATTATTATCCTTTAATGTCTTTCGAAACTATTATACTTACCACATCTTTAGTGGGATTCTTTACTGAGTCTGGAAAACAAGGAAAACTATAACTATACTATCTAGTCTCCAACTCCCTCAAGAAACCAAGAAGGAAATAATATTAACTGAGTACGCAGGAAGTACAAGCAAATGACTTCCAAAAGATGTGAGAAATGACAGAAATAGCTGGCTGCCTGGACAGTCACCCAAGGTTGCTCTGCAATATTGGGGCATCCATCTTTAGCCTATAGGTCTAACAGACTTCTGTGAAGCAGGATAATCTGAAGAACTGTCCCTCCTTGTCCTGGCAAGGTTTGCAGTCACCCTTTTGGTGTCCTCTTTGTCCAATTTGGACAACATAACTGTCAGCCGTTGAGGCAAGGGCACTTTCTTGCCCAGTAGCTTACCTTTGCCACTAAGAAAATAAACTCCATTTTTCTTTGATGCCCATCATCTTCTCTGACTTATATTGGTGCTGCCAGGAGCAGGCACATCTCATTGTCATTAAAAAAAACCCTAAGTTATTAAAACATGTTGAAAGTCATATTCTGTAGATCTCTGAAGTGTTTGAAGATGACCTGTCTTTCTAAAATAACTGTTTGATCTTGTAAACATACCTAATGTGACTACAAGTTTGATTGTAATAGTTGATTAATTACTGAACTACATTTCCTTATTATCCTATATAGCTGATAATAATAACTGATGGGGGATGTCCTTCTGGATGCTGTAGAAATACCTTATATTGGTATGGATTTTGGTTTATTGATACAAATTGGTTTATTGATACAAATTTTGTTTTATGTACTACTCTTGTTTAGGTATTGTGTTTATACAACTCTTTTAAAAATGTAACGTATAATTAAATACAGATTACAGATAGTCACCTAAAATAGTCAAAACTTGTAGTTATGTTAGTTAGGTTTTCTAGATATACAGAAATATGTTTCAAATGGGTAGTTATTCATCAAAACCTTTCAAAGACTTACAGAATATGACATTTAAAATGGTTTATCAGGATTTTTCATGACAATGAGATACAACCATTCCTGGCAACACCAATTACATCAGAGGGGAAGATGGGCATCAAAGAAACTCATTATGGAGTTTGTGTTTAATTTGACAAAACTGGCCTGTTAGGCAAAGAACTGCCCTTGTCTTGCCTGCTGACAATAAGCACACTGTCTAAACCGGACAAGCAGGTTACAAAGGAAATTGACTGCTGAACTTGCCAAGAGACAGGATGGTCCTTCAGGTTTCCTGCTTTACAGAAGAAAGCAACTGATGAACTTTGCCAACATAAGACAGAACAGATCTTCAAATTTCCTACTGCATTAAAAAGTCTGCCAGACACTTTTGGGTGACTGTCCAGACAGTGAGATGTCTCTGTTAATTTTAGTAATATTATCTTTCTGAGGTCTTTGGTGGAGTTGAAGACAGATAGTTATGGTTATTGTTTTCATAAGTTATGATAAAAGATAAGTTAGAAATAAAACTTAGATTCACAAAGATAGATTTTCTTTAAATTTTGCCAAATTATAATGGACTAAATGTTGTTAACTGTAGGTAGCTCTTGTTTGATAACTATTTTATTATATATAATTTTACTATGTTAAAGTTAAAACCTTCTTTTTTATTTAGACAGAAAAGAGATGATGGGGATGTCTTTCTGTATTCTGTGTATGTTTCTCTTATTAGTTGATGAATAAAGCTGTTTCAGCCAATGGACAGGCAGGATGTAGCCAGGTAGGAAGTATAGGAAGGGCTACCAGAGCAGGAGAATTCTGGGAAGAGGAACACATAGAAGCAGTCATGAGGGAGACATCATGTAGCTACTGGGAACATAGGACACCAGGCAATCTTCAACAAGCCAAGACCATGTGGAGATACATGGATTAATAGAAATAGGTTAATAATTAAGAGAGAGTTAGCCAATAGAAAGCCTGAGTCATCAGCCAACCAGTTCGTAATTAATATAAGCCTTTGTGTATTTATTTGGGACTAAATGGCTGTGGGACAGAAACTTCCATCTACACACAACACTTTGTCTTTGCTTCAGTGGTCCACAGCATCACTGGGATCTAAACTCCCATTCTTATGACTGGGAAGCAAGCCACCTCTCCAGTCCTCTTAGGAAATTCTTACTTCTAATCATCCTGGAAATTTTAAAAGGAGATATTTGTGGTGTGTGTGTGTGTGTGTGTGTGTGTGTGTGTGTGTGTGTGTGTGCGCGCGTGCGTGCGCATGTGCATATGTGATTTGCTTGTGTGTATGTAAGTGCTTTGCATGTGAGCCTGCTCTTCTCGGAGGCCTAAAGAGAGCAGATACATCCCTTGGAGCTGAAGTTACAGGTGGCTGTGAACTGCCCAGTATGGGTGCTGAGAACTTAACTCAGGTCCTCTGAAAGGACAGGAAGTACTCCTAACCACTGAACCCCTTAAAATCTATTTTTAAAGTCTATTTAAACCAGGCATTCACAGAGAATTTGTGATGGTCAAATTACAACAGTATTACTGGTAAGTGTCAGTCAAAATATTTAACTCAGATTTAGAAACTCTCATCTATTCCCAAAAGTTTGTTCTTCATCTGGGACCCAGAATTAATGCTAGAACTGATGCAACCTGAATTAAGTGCCAGCAAATGTTTACCAAAAGCCTCTGTCCCAAAGGGCGGTGCTTCAGAAATGACGCTGGCTGGGATTGCCTTGAGAGTTCAGTTTCATAGCAGGAGCAATACAGACAAATACACTTTGAAATGCCATTTTCCTTTCCAGTAAAAAACTGTGAAACCTAAATACCTTATCACAATATGCAAGGTGGTTTAATTTCTTATTTGCTCTGCTTCCCTGAGAAACACAGCACCTACAGGAAGTTCATGCCTCTGGGCCTTACTTATGGTAGAATGGAAAAATAAATGAAGCTATGGATTTTATCAAGGATGATTCCAAGAGAACAGACCATTAAACTACTATAGCTCCTTCCTTGTCTACTAAACAGCTTATCTGTAAAAGGCTAGTAATGTTATTACATGAGCTGTGACACCATCCCCAGGACTATAAACAGTTCTTTGCAAGTATGTGATCTATTTTATGGGAAGTCAATTCGGAAGAGCTGAATCACAAGGTTTAAAAGTCTAGAACTTTCACCCTCAAGCAAAGATAGTCTTGATCCCTCTCAACTGTTACGTGTTTCTGTTTTCTTCAGGACAACAACAGCTGTAAGGAACATTTATCATTTCATGAAAGAAAAGCCATTGCACAGCATCTGAACTTACACAGCCAACACTGATTACAGTGAAAAAAGAAAGTGTTTCCAAGAGGAAGATCCAGGCAGATGAAATAGCTCTGCATCTGTATAGCTATGGTAATAGGAAATACCTGTGTGGTAAAATGGCATATCTATATACTTTTTTATTTATGTCAGGATTAATTTCCTGTTTTGAGACTACACCTAAATATGACAACTACAGCAGTGGCGTGAGTAGAGGGCCCTTCTGACCTCTGTTTTTCAGTTTCCTGTGTTTTTTCAAAATAAAATGATTTTAAAAGTTTATTTTTGTGTACCTTGACATTTCCCTGAACACTTTGCATTAGGACCAACCAAAGAGAATAAAATGGCAGTGGTTTTTCATTTTTGGTTTTGGTTTTTCAAGATAGAGTTTCTCTGTAGCTTTAGAGCCTGTCCTAAAACTCTACTTATAGACCAAGCTGGCCTCGAACTCACAGAGATCTGCTCTCCTCTGCCTCCCGAGTGCTGGGATTAAAGGCGCGCACCGAACCCCAAGGGAGGCAACTGGAGGCTGGGGGTGTTCTGGCAAAAGGTTCTTCCACAGCCTAGACACTGTAAACATGTAATATTGGAATGCAGGCCTTTCTCACGAACAAAAATGCAGAATTCCCAGGGTTGGCTCTTTGTCAGGGGGCGCCCAAGGGCCACATCAGTATTTATAAAAGCCGTCATGTTCTGTTAACCAAAGTGGATTCTCTGTGCTGTTGCTCTGCAACCCCCTAGCTTGTTTATTTGTGGCATAATATAAACTTCTAGCTTGTTTATTTGTGGCATAATATAAACTTCACGAGATAGACCCCTTCCCCTCAGCACCCTGCTACACCAGGGGGCTCATTTCTCCTCGCTGGTGCCTGCGACCGCAGGCGGCTTTGGTTTAGAATCGCTCCTAGACAATGCCCTGTCCCGGAATCTTTTCCGATCATCCCTCTAGAAGCTGAGACCAGATCTTGGCGAGGTCCGAAGCGTTCCAGCCTCCTAGACGCGGCCTCGCAGACACCGCCCTTTAGGCCACGCCCCTCGGGCCACGCCCATTAGCGCGAGCTGGGGGGGAAGCGCGGAGGGGCGTGTCCTCTCCATTCCCGGGCGCCTATTGGGAGGTTGCCCGGCGGAAGGCGGGGCTATCCCGGAGCTCAAGCCTGGTGGTTGTTAACGGCTTTTGGTCTCTGGCTTTTGGCACTGACATGGTGAAGAGCGACTCCGACTCAAGCAATATGTCTGAGAAACGACATTCCCAACACGGAGGACCTCAGCGGCTCCCCGAGTCCTTCAGGGGTGAGTCCCTCCTCCCTGGCACAGCCGCCCTGAGCCCGCCCTGGGTACTAGCCCCCCAGCCTGCGGCGAGAACCCCACTGACAGCTGGGTTCCGAAAGGCGCTTCTCCCTGCACTGTGTGCACGTCTCAGAGCCGCCTCTTCTCCTTTACCCCTGGGTTCTCGGGCTGCTGGATGATGATTTCGGGGTGCTGGGGTGAAACTTGTATGACAGCCAAGAGGGCGCACCGTTGGCATTGCGTGTATCCATTGCTCAGGACCCTAGCAGGCAGGGGCTCACTTACCCTTTGGGTTCTGGATGACACGCCAGGTGCCTGCCCTTCCTTATCTCCCGCCATGAACGAAGACCAGGGCAGTCTCTGGCAATCACGATGGTAGAGGCGACTCTCCCGCGGGTTCAGCCTCGCTTATTCTCCTTTCTTTACTGCCCCAGCGCCTCATAAGGGAAGCCGTCCCGCCAAGCTTCCATCATCTACCCATAGGTGATCCCCACACCTCTGGACCAGGGAAGAACTCCCACCTGCTTCCCTCCGTCCCCAGCTTCGGGAAACTAATAAGTTTTATGGGAAAGAGGTAGGCGTGTACGCAGAAGAAAGGAAGACTCTGGCTTTCCTTCCGTTTTCTGCCTTATTCTAGCCTCTTTTGTCTTAGAGATCTCGCCTTCCAGGTAAATAACCCACCTTCCAGGCAAATAACCCGGTGCCCACCACCCTACCGAGTCTTTCCTTCCTAGTCTTGAAGACAAGAACTGTAAAAAGGCCCCATCCTGTTCCCTGTGAAGAAATTAGTCCTTGAGCAAACTACCTATTTGAGCCTTTAAATTGGCTAACTCCTTGGGGTCGGAAATGCCCTGTAAGATGATAAACCTCGCAGGAGTTCTGCTATCCTCTCAGGAGCTTTACTGATCCAAAGAAATTATTTCTGAAGGTGGAATTTCAGTGAGGACTACACAGTGGAAGAGATTTAGGGGGCTGGGTGGGCTTTTTCAGCAGCCATTCTTGCAGATTGTTTGCAAAGCTAGCCCCTAAGCCAGGAACACCTCCCTTGATTCTCAGGAGTATCACAAGAATTTCAGGGTCTCCAGAGTGTAGGAGTAGAGCACCCAGCAAAAGTTCCTGGGTTCCATTCTCAGTATGGGTATGTGAATCTTTCTCTATGCTCTCCCTCCCAAGTTGGGAGTATAATAAAATTAAAGAGAATAATAGCAAAAACCCCACACTTAATAGGCTAAGCCAAGCCCAGACAAAAGTGTGTGTATTCTGTGAGACTCAGAAGTGGGAAATGGATTTGGAGCAGCATCCTGCGAACAAACATGATCTCTGTGCTCAAAGATTGCTCCATTTTCTTGGTCACAGTGCATTTTGGGTTTTAGTTGTAAATCCCTTTTCTTGGTTCTACATTTAGCTGTTTTAGACAGAAATCTTTTAGAACTGGGTGAAAATGAATGTGCTCTTTCTGAAGTATGTATACAAATGAAATTTTGCTTGGTTTCTGTCATTTTTTTTATCTTAAAACCTTTACATTGTGTGTGTGTGTGTTTGCCTTGTGGAGGTCGGAAGAGTCAATCTCCTTCAGACATGCAAAGTCCAGGGGTCAGATCCAGACTATCCTTGCTGACAAGCTAGCACTTTGCATGCTGAGGCATCCCTTCTTCCAACTTTCTAGTTTGTTTGTTTTTAATGGTACTCCTCAGAGATTTAACATTAGGAAGAAATCTGTCACTATAACATATTAGAGTTTCTCAAATGTATGTCACATGCCACATCACTAAATGCTTTAAAAACATCCAATTACAGGAAATGTCTTTATTCCCCATCATTCAGTAAGGAAACTCAGATAAAATTACAGATAGTCCAAAAAATTCAGAACCAAGTTTCCAACCCAGGCTCTGACTTTCCGAGCCATTTTCCTGATCCTACAGCTCGCAATCCATAAAGCAGGTACCATCGAATTTATAGTCTGGTCCAACTTGAGAACTTCACTGAGTGTAAGAGACAATAAACAAAGGAAGCCCAGAGGAGCCAAGCGTGAGTAGTCAGGACCTCTTGGATAAAGTCACTCCAAAGAATGGCTCCTGATGGAAGCAATGGAATTACAGAGCCCCAACTCTACCTCATTGTACCTTTGTAGAGAATTTGTTCTGGAGTGACAAATGTCCAAAGCTAGGAGGAATGAAGGAAGTTTACCTAAAGCCAGTGAGTTCGGTTTCCAATGGAACAGTGTAGGGGATTGCAGAGATGTTGTAATGAAGAGCCTTGTCAACAAGATAAGTCCCTTAGGGAGGATCTCTTGAAAATAAGCAGAATCATGGGACTGGTGTGTTTATTTCAGTTGTTACAGTTGATCAGATTGGGGACAACTGCGTAACTTCAATAATTGACCCAAATTAAACCATCAGAGGTAATAAATGAACTCAAACTGAAGACCAAAACTACAGAAGCTGTTGTGTATATGTTGTTTATGATAGTAAATTTCAGTGTTCCTGAACAGTGTAAGTTTTACACTATAAAAGATAGAGTAACTGACTATCTAGTCTGCTTTGGAAAATGTAAAGTGTTGGTAAAGTGATGCAGAGTGTTTGAAAGATGAGTTTTTAAAGAGGTCACAGAAAAGCAATTTCCTGTAAGCTGTTTTAACCACATAGCAGGAACTTCATAGAGGCCTGTACATACTTCTGACATAATGTTTATTGAATGGTATTGTAATTTATCAGTTGGGTTCATCTGGTACCCTCTCATTTTTAGCCTCACTGTAAGAACTCAGTATGAGTCAGGTGTGGTTGCACACACCTTTAATCTCACCACTCAGGAGGCAGGGGCAGGTGGATCTCTATGAGTTGGAGGCCAGCCTGACCTACAGACTGAGTTCTAGGAGAGCTAAAGTTACACAGAGAAACCCTGGCTGTGGGGGAAGAACTCAGTATGAAGTAGTTGAACAAAATGTTTGCTGAAAAAAAGGGGGGGAGTGGAAAGGGCTAAATCATGTTATCAAGTGTTGATGGACAGCTTCTTTTATTGTTCATTGATTTTAGGATATTATATATTCTTACTATAGACAGACTACTTATCTAGGTTTGTGTTAACAATAAAGGAACTATAATTGGCAAGAAAATATATTGTACCTAGTAAGGAGCCTCACTCATGAAAACAAGTTGAGGATCAAGAAGAAAAAGGTATGCACCAGTGCATTACACAATAGTTCCTTCTTTTTCTGGCTCTCATCTGCATTCTGGGACTACTAAAGAAACCTGAACCTCAGGCTTTGCTATTTTAGTAGGTGGAGCCTTGAAAATACAACCAAGAAAATGCCTTCAGGTATGAGACAGTAAGAATGGTGCTCACTGGAGTGAGCACTTATGGGAAGATGGAGTGGTGAAAGGAAGTGAGTGCATTAGAGTGAGAAGGCTGGGCTATGGGTACCGCACCATCACTACCTGGGTCACTCAGGCAAGTTCCTCAAGTTGCAGAGTCATCATTCAGCTAGGCATACCCTCACTTCCCTGTCTCCCAGGATTATCAAATAAGAAGATAGATGTGCTTGAAGCACTAGGGGAATCAGGAATGCTAGCACGAAGGGCCAGTATTCAAAGAGAGATGGAAAATGTGTTTTCCACTCAGAAGGCTGAGAGAGAGGTGGCTAAAAGCTTGATGGCTTTTGCACTATCCGTGTGGCAGAGACCACACCAGATCCCCCAGGCCTTACCATGAACTTGTTTTTCTCAGTCAGTCTACTGGCCCCGTCTTTATGGACTATGTCACATGTATTTTACAAAGAACTTTGATGTCTTAAGCTTTATTGTCACACAGAATTGAGTTAATTATCATCAGGAAATTTTCTTCACCAAATTAAAAGTTTGAGCCAACACTGGCTACTAAGTTGAGCTAACCAAACTGCCTTCTTATCTCTCATGGATCAATCCTCTGCTGGCCATGGTTGTCACAGAGACACCCCCCCCGACCCAGATATATATGAATTTTCTTTTGAAATTTTAAAAATTATTACGGCAGTACTTCATGGAGAAATAAAAGAATAAAGAGATTAATGACAGCTGTCTCACAGAAATACACTCATTCCCCATTCAATTTACATTTAGGGGAAAGTATAAGAGGTATATTACAGATGGCCTGACAAAGTTTAAAACTAATTTACTGCCCCATATATGATCTGTTCCTCTCCCCTGAGATAGAATCCCCAAGCAGATTGTTAGTTTTGATATTTTCTCCATGGTATGTAGGTCCCAGAAGGCAATCCACCCAGTAAAACACTTATTCCTTATAAGCTATTAAATAGTGGCCTTAAAGTGCCAAGTATTTTATATATTTTCTCATTTGGTCTTTGTAACACTGTGAAATTCTGCTCTTTCTGATAAGAAAATGGAGTGGTAGGATTGGAATCAGGCACTAAATTGGCAACACCTTACATGTATATTAGCAATTCATCTGAGGAAAGAATTAGGAGTCTAATGATAAAGTGTCCTAGGCTTTTAATTTCCATCTTAAATTAACATAATGTTTCACTCCAAAGAGTTTTTTTTTTTTTTTTTTTTTTTTTTTTTTTTGAGACAGAGTCTCTACTGTAGTCCTGACTGTTCTGGAACCCTGTAGGTCTGACAGACTCACCTCCTACTCACAGAGATCCACCTGCCTCTGCCTCCTGAGCACTGGTTAAAGGCATGGCCACCATGCTGGGCAAAGATTCACGAGAGTTTCGTTACTATGGATATTTTTAAGATGTCTAAATAAAAGAGCTTTGAGGAGAAGGAACCACAATAAAAGGAGTGTGCCTGTCCTGTCAGTGTGAATCAGTGCTGCCCTCTTTTGCTGAAGGCCCTTGTGTTTCTCCACAGGGGTCATGCTTAGCCCTTCTTGAGAGGAAAACATCTGTGACCTGTTTTGTTTTGTTTTTGTTTTTGTTTTTTTAAGAATAATCACTAGAGGAAAGCAGCTGATGATTCCTTTAGGACAGAATGGCCTAAAGCTGGCATGAGGCCTCAGACTGGTTCATGTAAGAGGTTCCCTTTCTCTTCCCAGAAAAGAATGCAATTGCTTCACTCAGTCACCGACTCTTCTTTGGTGTCTCTCTTACTCCACAGCCACTTCCAGGGACATCAGCCTACTAGCTCTCTTTTTAGGTGAACAGCCTTTTGGGATTTTTTTAGGTTTTTAAATTTTGTTTGATGTGCATGAGTGTTTTGTCTACATGTATCTGTGTGTACTACATGTGTGCCAGGTGCGTGTTATGGCAGATCCCCTGAAACTGGGTTATGGATGATTGTGAGCTGCCATATGGGTGCTGGGAACCAAATGCAGGTCCTCTACCTGAGCAATAGGAGCCCTCTCTTCAGCCTCTGTAAATAGCTTTTATGTTTAAAAACATCCCTTCATTTTTATGCATTTTAAAGGGTGAATGTTTTGCTACATATGAAAGTCAGATTTTTGTGTACATAGTGGGTTTTGTTGGAATGCAACCATGATCCTTACACATACCTGTGTGCTGTGCTGCCCATGGCTATTTTTATATTGCCATGGTAGACTGGAGCATTTGTTCAGACTCTGTGGGCTACAAAGCCTGTTTCCTCTTTGCCCCTCTCAAGGAAAAGCTTGCTAAATTCTAACAGTCTGCTGTGGAATGCTGGTGTTTAAAAAGGAGGAACAAGAGGTCAGTTGTATCTTAAATATAAATGCTTTAAGAAGAAAATAAAAATTTGCCAAGACTTTCACTGACCATTTACTCCTAAAAAACAGTGCTAGTCGACACAAATAGCATGTGTTTTTAAGGTAAAATTCTCAGAGTCCTATCTGTCTCTACCCAGACATTACTGTTTATGATACTTTACAACATAAAGTGTTTCACCCACATTCTGGGTAAGGAAAGGGAAAGAATTGCCTCTAAGTACTGCAACTCAGATGGTTTCAGCAACTCTTCAGCCCATCCCTCTCCCTTTGCTCAGTGCTGCACGTGATGGAGTCCTAATCTTAGATATGAGACAGGTCTCTGGCCTTTCTCAGCAGACAAGTGCAATGCATTTTGAACTTTAGAGTAATTAGATCTCAGTGGTGAATGGGATTCATTACTCCCAAGGACTTTTAGTCATACCAGCTCCAGTTCATCTTAAAATAACCCAGCTGGCACACGATGGATAGCAGCATACACTTCTCTGAACATTGGTCTAAGAGCTTACAGGGGAGGTACTTCTACTTTCCCTATGGCCAGGTAACAGCAGTTACTGTATAACTGTACCTTTTCTTCTTTCTTTTTTCTTTCTTTCTTTCTTTCTTTCTTTCTTTTTTTTTTTTTTTTGAGACAGGGTTTCTCTGTGTAGCTCTGTAGACCAGGCTGACCTCAAACTCAGAGAAATCCACCTGCCTCTGTCTCTGCCTCCCAAGTGCTGGGAACAAAGGTGTGCGCCACCACCCCTAACTTGTACCTCTTTATATTTTGGTTTGGTTTTATATTAGTTTCTTGAGGTAAATTCAATCTGAATAATAATAAATTTAAATGTATAGATATATGTTATCTTAGGTCCTTTTTGAAATAGTTTAATTTATTATCATTATTATTAGTGGTTAGATACAGGGCTTCTCTGTGTAGCTTTGGCTGCCCTGGAACTTGCTCTGTAGACCAGGCTGGCCTTGATCTCAGAGCTCTGCCTCTGTCTCCCAAGTGCTAAGATTAAAGTTGTGCACCACTACACCTGGCTCATTTAAAAGTTTATTTTTAATGCAGTTTTCAGGAAAGTTTCACAGTGAAAAAAGAATGCATAAAGGCATGGCAAAGCAAAGTTTACAACCAAGTATGGTGGGATCCTGATCTTTCAAAGCCTTCCCCCAGTGAAGCATTGACAAGTATTTAAGGGAAAACATCTCAAGAATGATGGTTGCATGTTACTTGTCATTTACCTCAGAAGCTGACAGGAGACAACCCAAAACTAGTAACTCTGAGGGAATGAGGCTCATGGTGGGTAACTGAGAGTTTTTCTTACTTGCCCAACAATTATGACTGACTTAGATTCATTTATGAGCCCAGCAGAACCTCACCTCCAAGAAATGTAGTTTATACACCTTGTAGCCAGATGGGAGAGACTCTTGGTGGTTTCACTGAAAAGGGAGTAAGAACATATATGTAATGGTGCTGGCACAGAGCTGCTTCAGTATTTGTAGCCATGCTTTAGATATGGATAAGACCTTGTGAAAAGTTCCTGCATCCTGGTAAGCCTCTCTGCCAATGCAGCAATCCAAATCAGACCAAATGAAACCAAATTAGAAAGAGTCCACATTTAATGGATACAATGCTCCCAGATGGCCTTCCAGCCCCCCCCCCAACCCAGGGAAGAGATGGGAAAAGAAAACAAGAAAAACCACAAGCCTATTTTCTGGGGGGCAGTTTAAATACCCTGTGGGAGTAGTCTTCAGCATCTCTGGGGGAGGGATTATCATTTACTGGGCTTCTGAGATGCCTCAGGGTTTGGAAGGAGATGGGGAAGGGGGAATTGGGTTGAAGCTTCCACTCTTTGGGTGTCTGGATGCCAGGAGCTGGGGTGAAGCCTCACCCATTACATCGTGTCCAGTTTCCAGAGCACACACCTAACTCCCTGGTCTTCATCTCTGATGCCATGTACTTATCTGAGCTTTGAAGAATCTCAGTGTAATGATGCGAACTGCATTTTTTTTTTGTATTAACTTGTAGAACTATTTAATTTTTTAAAAAAATGTGTTTCTCTGTGTGTGCATTCATGCATGCCCTAGCACCATAGCACACATGCCACACTACCAGTATGACAGCATGTGTGTGGTGGACAGAGGACAATTTGCAAGAATCAGTCCTCTTTCACCATGTGGCTTCCAAGGATCAAACTCAAGTTTCCCCATTTTGGAAGCAAGCACCTTTACCTGTTGAGCCATCAGTAGCATAACAACTTTGATTTTTTTTTTTTGAGGCTAATAAAGATGTAAAAGAACAATAGCTAGAGGCGGGAAATATGCTACTAACTTTATTTATTTGAATTTTAAAATATAGTGTGAGCCAGGAAAGAGGTTGGGAGGATGTATTGAAATACTCACTGCTTCTGGGTTTAAAGTAATTTCCCCCTCCTTTTTATATACTTTCTACATGGTTTTGCAGCAGGGTGTATGTGTATTACATCTGTAATCAGACAAAAGCACTATTTATTTGCAGAAGAGGGAGGAAGACCAAGTACAATGATATTCATGGAAGCATTGTTTTTAATAGCAAGAAACCAGACACAGCCTTTTTACTAATCAGGAAATGGGCGGTGGTGCGTGAGTCAGGGCAAGAGTATGCAGAAGCAATTTGTATAAAGACACTGTAATGGGATTATGTGCCTGTGTCGTGGTTTTCGTCATGAGTCACGCTGCTCCATGAACCAGAATACCCATTCTCTCTCTCTCTCTCTCTCTTTCTCTCTCTCTCTCTCTCTCTCTCTCTCTCTCTCTCTCTCTCTCTCTCTCTCTCTCTCTCTCTCTCTCTCTCTCTCTCTCTCTCTCCCCTCTCTGCCTTTTTGTTGGCATTTTCCTTGCTGACAGGAAGATGATGATGGCTGTGACCTACCCACTCCACTCCACTCTGGCCTCCATCTTGATGTGTCGCTCTCCTTCTTTATGTTTGTAAAGCTTCCCAGCAGACACTGTGCCTTTATTTCCCACCTGGTTTGTAACTCTCTTTATTCCTCGCTATCTCTTTAGAAGCTGAGCATTCTTTGTTTTTGTTATTTCACATCACAAGTCAAAATAAATAAGTAGCATTTGAAAAGTGTTTGCTTGGTAAAGTGAGAAATGAGTAGGTACTCATATTTCAGGACTGTGTGAGAATTAGACAGGAAACCCAGGTAAAGCAGCCAGCAAAATGGCAAGCACAGAAAGGTGGGGCTTAAGTGACGGTGCCCATAACAGGCTGTATGGTTTTGTTTCAACAGATAACCCCAAGGCAGAACTGGGACCTTGTGGATGGATTTTGGTGGCTTTCTCATTCTTGTTCGTACTGATAACCTTCCCCATATCAATATGGATTTGCATAAAGGTAAAGAGCATTTCTCCCACTTCTGGAACAGGGCCAGCTCCTACCTCCACTTGATCTATGGGTCAGATGGGGATACCACACTGGCCTGTGGTTCTTTTTCTTCCATCTGTCTTTTGGAAAACATGTTCTGCTGATGAATTATAGTCGATACTAAAACTCCATTCCCTCACTATTCACTCAGTCCTTGCCACAGGCAAAGTGAGGATTACCATGCAACAGTTTTCTCTGTCAAGATGTGAGACCAGCCACTACAGCTAGGATGGCAGGGCTGGGCAGTATCACCCAGCACCATTGCCGAGTTTCCTCACTTGTAAAACTGGGGAGAACAGCATTCATGCTTAGGGTGATGGTAGGGATTAAGGGAATGCCTGATTCCACATACTGACTGCAGAGCCTGGCATGGAGCCAACACTGCCCAGCACAGTGCTTTCCTACAAAGTCACTGATCCATACCAAATAACTGTCATTTGCATATTTCTGAAATAACAAATATGCTGCCTGCATTTTCTGACCAATTTTATTGTAATTAATGGACTCAGAAGAAGAGCTATAAGCTTTTCTGAGCAAACAAAACATAAATGAACAGCATGGATGCTGATGGCCAGGAGTGAGCCTGGTGATGGATTTCCCCTACTTTGCCCTGATCCCTAGTGTTCCATAACCAGTGTGCTTGTTCTGTGTTTGGGGCAGGGGCTTTAGGCTGGCCTTGAACTCACTTTGTAGTGCAGGTGGTCCCATACTCATACTCATCACCCTCCAGCTTCTACTTATAGAGCCCTGGGATTAGAGGCATGTGTCACAACTTCCAGTGTCTATTGCTTTTATGAGAAGTATAAAAGAAGGTGTATAATAAATAAACACTGTGTTTGGAAAGAGCAAACACCAGATGGTTGTTTATGGACACTATCAGGAAATGGAGAAAATGCCAGGAGGCTGTGAACCTGATCACAGCAGAGACACATTAAAGACGATGTGCCCATAAATGTGTATGCTCATCACAGTGACTTCATTCCTGTGTTTATTCCAGATTGTAAAGGAATATGAACGAGTCATCATCTTCAGACTGGGTCGAATTTTGCAAGGAGGCGCCAAAGGACCTGGTCAGTACTAGGTTTCCGTCTGGAAACTAAAGTGTTGTGGGTTTTTAAAAACCTATTTGTATATATGTGGCTGGGGGAAGGGTGGCTATCTGCACATGAGTGCTGGTGCCCACAGAGGCCAGATGTATGGGATCCCTGTATCTGGAATTACAGAATTTGGGAGGCACCCGGAGTGGGTGATGGGGATCAAGCACTGGTCTTCTGGAAGACCATTAAGTGCTTGTAACTGCTGAGCCCTCTCCACTCTAGGAGACTGGAATGTCTTACTGATGTGAGGCCCCAGTGAGGCTTGCTGCAGAAGCTGTGTAGCAGTCAGTGGCCCTGGACAGTCTGGGTGCTGCCCCACCCTTCCCATTACTATCTGCTTAGAGCGATTAGGCTATCATTGGCCTTGGCCATAGCTGTGGGAGCTGGGCATGAGCATCCCAACCCAGGAAAAACTTAATTGCTCAGATGCTGAGCTTGCAGGAGTATATTGCCATGCTCAGAGAACAGAAGACAGTTCTTTTATCAAAGGGCTTGCTGTCCAACAACTGGACACCAACAAAGAATCAGATAGCTATGCCCTGCATTTAGCGATCTCATACAGCAACCACAGAACCCTGAAAGAAAGTTCACAGAAGACACAGAGAAGAGTGACTGACCTGAAGTAATAGATAGGCAAAGCTTTCCCATCATTTGTTATTTGTTTTATTTTTATTAGTTTAAAATTATAAGTTACCCAGGCGTGGTGGTGCATGCCTTTGATCCAAGCACTTGACAGGCAGAGGCAGGTAGATCTCTGAGTTCAAGACCAGCCTGGTCTACAGAACAAGTTTCAGGACAACCAGGCTACACAAGGAAACCTCTATTAAAAAAACCTAAAAATAAAAAATAAATAAAATTATATGTGGATGAGTGCAGGTGCCTTTGGAATCCAGAAGAGAGTGGGAGCCCTTGGAGCTGGAGTTACAGGCAGTTGTGAGCTGTCTATAGGGTCCCAGGAACTGAACTTGGGTAATTTGGAAAGAACAGTAAGCACTCTTGACCACTGAACCATCTCAGCCCCTCTGGTTTTTTTCTTTTTTGTTTTCCTTTTCTTTCTGATGCAGTATCCCACAGCCTGACTGAAACTCACTGTGTACCCTAAGCTGGCTTCAAACTCTCAGCATCCTCCTGCCTCAGCCTTCTGAGTATTGTAACTATCTGCATGCACAACTGTGGCTGGCCTGTGTGATTGTTGAGGCATACAGAAGTGTCAGCCACAGAGAGGTATCCCTATATGCAGAGCCATGAAGGGAGAGAATAGCAGAGTAAGGTGCTGTGGGAACTTGCGTGCCCGATGAGGGTGCACGCCTGAAGATAGGGAACGAGACTAGAGAGGCAGGGTGAGTCCTGTGAGACCCTAAGTTCTTAGGTGAGAAGTGAGCAAGAGGTGAAACAGCAGTCGGGACTGTGTCCCTTAGAACCCGTCAAGAGCAAGCTGAAGCTAATGGTGTCTCTCTGATGCTGTGTGTTTTACAGGCTTGTTTTTTATCCTGCCATGCACTGACAGCTTCATCAAAGTGGACATGAGGACCATCTCCTTCGATATTCCACCTCAGGAGGTGAGCAGTTCTCACTGCGGCTGAGGGCCACACACATACATACACATACACAAACACACACACACAGACACTCACACACACAAACACACACTCACACAGACATGCACACTCACACAGACTCACACACAGTCACACAGACACTCTCATACACACACACACTCACTCACGCACAGACACACACACTCACACACAGAGATATACACTCACACAGTCAGACACACACTCACACGCTCACACAGACACACACACTCACACACAGATACACACTCACCCACACAGACACACTCACACACACACTCACACAGACTCACATACAGACACACACATTCATAGACACTCATTCACACATACACACTCACACTCACACACAGGCATTCTCACACTCACTCATACACACTCATACACACACACTCACAGACACACTCACAGACCCTCACTCACACAGACACACACACTCACAGACACACTCACACAGACCCTTACTCACACACATACTCACACACGCAGACACACACTCACACAGACACACGCACTCATACACTCACACACTCACACCCCCCCCCCCCCCCCCCACCCCCCCCCCCCCCCCCCCCCCACAGACACACAGCTTCCTGACCCTGGGAGGCCAGAGCTGGCAGCCCTGACTGCCTTATTTTTTCCCAGCTCTCTGACCTTTAAGCAGGTCCTGAAATTCTCTGTGTCTCCATGTCCTCAACTGTGAAATGGAGGTTGTAGTGGTGAGACCTACTTAGTGGGGTGTTGTAAGGAGTGAGTGAGATACTGCATGGGAACCGTTTAGCACAGTACCTGAGGCTGAAGTGCTATGTGCACTTGCTGCTGTTATTAGAAACTCAGAGTGATGCTCAAGGACACTGAGTTAGCATCATTGTTGTTCTGACCACAACTCTCTTCCATAGGTTTCTAACAGAAAAAAAAAATCAATCTAGCTCAGCATTCTTAGGGGCTTCATTTTTATTCCAGATAAATTGGTTAGAAGCCAAAGAATTAGAAACTGCTCATTTGGCATTTTAGGAATCTCTGTGGTCATTTCATGCCTTTTCAGTCTCCTTCACAAACAGCTCACAGCTGACATTCGAAGCCTGTTTCTGGAAGGATGCAGTCACAGTCAGACATCCTTGAAGCCCCACTCTTGGGATTCTCTGTTGCTTCCCCCTCAGCTCAGGGCTCACTGCACTGGACATCAGCTCCGTCATGACCGTTTGGTACCCATATGTTAGGAGACAGGAACCCCCAGGGGCCAGCTGTGGGTGCAGGAAGAGCAGTGTTCCCTGGGCATGGGCTGGGTACTCAGCATGATGTTGGAGCCTAGATTTCTCTTACATAAATCACAAAATCCAGAATGGGAACCTTACTGGTACTGATCCAAGCATTTGGTACAGGTGGACTTCTCAGCCCACACATCTCCAGATTCTCTGCATGTTTTCCTGTCACTCAGGAAGATGGGCTCCCCAGAGCCCCTTGGAGGGCTGGGAATTGTGTGGCATTTTCTTGTGTAAACACTGCAGGCATCTGGCATGGGGGCATCTGGCATGTCGCTATGAGCTTCTGCCTTTTGCTGCTCCCTTTCCCCTGTAAGCTGCCAAACCCAAAGTGGATTGGAACTTGGCAAGCAACTCTTTCTCATGCCCTGTGATCTTGCTGCAAAGGGAGATAAACACTGCCCACAGTAAACTGAGCAGAGACACCGCAGCTCCGAATGCAGCTGTGGCAGCCACAATGGCAAAATCTGTGAGTGACATTCATTTTCCCATCATGGTATGAGCAGTTGTCACACAAGATGGTGTTTCCCTGTCACTCAGGAAGATGGGCTCTCCAGAGCCCCTTGGAGAGCTGGGAATTGTGTGGCATTTTCTTGTGTAAACACTGCAGGCATCTGGCAAGGGGCCATCATGGTATGAGCGGTTGTCACACAAGAGGCTCCCCTCTTCTCCAACTTAGAGGTATTTTTAGATTACTAAATAACTAAAGAAGGTTGCTTCCTGGCAGAGCTATGAGGCTGTTTAGCTGTTGCTATTACTTTCCATTGACATAGCTGGGGTCAGCTTCCTTCATGACACCTCCTCCCTTGATCATCATAAAAATATGGATTGGAGGCAACAGATGAGGGGCTGCCAGGTCACATGGCTTACAGCCAGATATGGCCCACCCCACTGGACCCCACTCTTGCATGGCTCATCACTCATTTTCTACGATGTCATTTCAGTTCATCTCTCATTTAGGGACCCTCTGCCATGTGTCAGTCACACTGTCTGATAGAGAAACAAAGAGAAACTGCCCCCAAGAAACTCACAGTCACCCGGTGGTGGCACATGCCTATAATCCCAGCACTTGGAGGCAGAGACAGGAGGATCTCTGTGACTTCAAGGACAGCCTGGTCTACAGAGTGAGTGCCAGGACAGCCAGGGCTACACAGAAATATTGTCTCAAAAGGACAACAACAACAAAAAAAGGAGAAACAGAGGCATCCATGCACCCTACTCAGAGCGTCCCTCCACAGACGTCCCTCCACAGACGTCCAGGGGATGTGAACAGGAGGTGTGCCTGACCATGAGAGTCAGGAAGTCCACTGAGAAGACATTGAGTGGTGGGAAGAAGTGGGCCAGAACAATGCCAGCCATGAGTGGAATCTCCAAATTGTTATGTGATTGAATGAATCTGTGAAGTGGAACAAATATTATTAAATCTCTATGGATATCATTAACCTTTTGATGCCTTGCTCCAGAGAATCAGCTATTGCCTGAGGGTTAATAGAAGGGTGTTTGTAGGGACAATAGACAAGCTGTGGCTAGTGTATGATTGCCTTTTTCCTCCTGTAGGTCCTCACGAAGGATTCAGTGACAATCAGTGTGGATGGTGTGGTCTATTACCGTGTTCAGAATGCAACCCTGGCAGTGGCAAATATCACCAATGCAGATTCAGCAACTCGCCTTTTGGCACAAACCACACTGAGGAATGCCCTGGGCACCAAGAACCTGTCTCAGATCCTGTCTGACAGGGAGGAGATTGCACACCACATGCAGGTGAGGAAGGCATCCATGCCCGGAGAGAAAACCAAGCTGAGTCCATGACCCTCGAGGGAGTTGACTCACCAGACAGGGGTGGATGCCATTTTCTTTTTTAGGTTTTCAGACATTATAGAAATGTTTTCAGACAAACACCCATGGGTTCATGGCACTCAGGTGCATGCTATTTTTTAATTCCTTTCAGTGTTTTATTTTTCCTGGAATCCATATGATCCTCATCATAGATCATAACAGTTTGGAGGTTATGCTGCAAGAATACTGTAAAGCTCTGGCCTGTGGACAAATCTATCAATCCCTGCATAACCTCCATGCTTTCCAGCCTTGACTGGGAGTAGATATTACAATAGTAAGACTGGCTTGTTCAAAAAGGATACCGTGCTATCAGTGTGAATTCTTGCCTTTCACAGATGCTTCATTGCTGTTAAGTCTGTGGCTTGTTTTGGTTGAGGAGACTGTCCCTACAGCTCAGAGTGCCCTGTAACCTGCTCGCTGGTCTAGGTTGGCCTTGCAGTTCTGCTTAGCATTACTGCCACCTCCCAGCTAAAGACAGATGGCCTGTGTGATGCCATTACAACCTCATGAAATAGCAAGTGTGGTTCATTCCTGCCCTTCTAAAGAGGGGCATGAAGCAGGGCTTACATGCTGCCACATTAACTCGGGTAGGCAGACTACTAATACAGGAATCTTAGACAATAGTGTTTCCCTGGAATACAGTTCAACTGTTCACTTATGTATTACCCATACTACTCTTGACCTATGAGGGCAGGGCACAATAATTGCCGTGGAGATTGCAAATAAACAGTTCCTTTATGGCCCCTTAAAAGTTTGCCAACACCTGCATTAGCTCATTAGTAATAGAATCGGGGCAGTTTCTTGCTCTCCAGCCCCTGCTTCAGCCTTCCAGATGTGTGTTTCTCTGCCACTGGCATGAAACCGTATGGGCATCACACACCAGCGAACGCAGCTGCTCTTGGCATCTGGACAGGAGCGTTGGTGCCTCACTTGCTGTCTCTTCTCCTTCCAGAGTACACTGGATGATGCCACTGATGACTGGGGAATAAAGGTGGAGCGTGTGGAGATTAAGGATGTGAAACTCCCAGTCCAGCTCCAGAGAGCCATGGCTGCAGAGGCAGAAGCCGCCCGGGAGGCAAGAGCCAAGGTAATATTTCCTATTTATTTAGGTTCTGTTCTGTTTCATTTTAGTTTGATTTCCTTTTTAAATTCCATAGTAATAAAACATTCTCATTGGAAAAGAGTAAAACATCCCTGAATGTTTAGTATAGAAGCTCTTTCTGTCATTTCAAATCCCATTTCCTCAGAGGCTACTACTCTAAATGTGTGTGTATGTGTGTGTGTACATGTGTGCATTCCTGTATGTGTGTATGCAAGTGCATCATGAACGTGTGTGTGTCTGTGAGAGTGTGTGCGTGCGTGCATGCCTGCGTGTATGCCTGCGTGAATGGGTGTGTGTGTGTGTGTGTGTGTGTGTGTGTGTGTGTGTGTGTGTGCGTGCATTTTGAGACAAGGCCTCTCTGAACCTGGACCTCACCATCTGGCAAGCAGGACCCTAGGACCCACCTGCCTCTGCTCCTCCTCCGGTACTGAAGTTACAGAGGTGTGCCACCACGCCTTGCATTTATGTGAGTGCTGGGGAATCCAAACTCTGGTTCTCATGGCTGCAGAAAGCACTTTATCTTATGAGCTATCTCACAGTTCTATACTTGCGTTTTATTTAACCCGGTTGCTGGGTTATTGGCACAAGTTGTCCCTATACCTTGGCCTTATCACTTAGGTCTCACGGGAATATTGGCCTGTTATGGTTGTATCATTGTCAGGATTGTGAGTGAGCCGTATGCTTTATTTCCTCAGTTCATTAACAAAGGCAGATTGACATTCAGAGTACAGACCAGTCGCCTCGTCTTGCTGCCGCCGCCCCTCACTTGTTCTCAGTGTTTTCACTCCCTCTTTCCCAGGGACCCTTTCCTTCATACTGCCTCTCCTTTTTCCTGTTCCCACAGTTCCCTCTCTTTCTGTGTCTTCCCTTTCTTTTCATTTAATCTTGCCTTTGTCTTAAGCCTACATGAGTGACCCTTCTAATAGAGCTGAGGAAATGTTTGTTAAGCTAACCTCAAAAAGAAATGTATCTTTTAAGAAGATAATGTATCAAAATATGAATGTATCTCACCAAACCCAAAGACTGAAATAGAGGCAGGCCTCTCCAGAGATGGACCAGGCTTCCTCTCACTGTAAGTAGCCCATGGTGGAGGATGTCTCACTCCCAAGTTCACAGTATTCCTAAGGGGACAGTAAAGGACAAAAGCTTCCTGTGTAGAAGGGGGTTCTCTCTGGCACAACAGGGTGGCGGCCACACCCCAGCATGACCACACAGCCCTCCCTGTGAACACTGAGATCAGTTTTCATAGGAGGGTTTGCTGTGCCTTTGACATGTCTCCTAAACACAGGAGCAAGCCAGTTTCTCATCACTAGAAAGCAGTAGAGTGCCCTGTCCATCTCATAGGATACAGATTCAGCCACAGACTGGCCATTATAATTTCTTAGCCAGCCTGTACCAAATAGTGGAGTAGCCTATTAACATGCTGCCTCAGCCAGAGTCTTCATGTCTTTTGGGGATGTTCATGGATACTCATTACATTGAAGAACTCTCAAGTGCTTTCTTGTAAAAAAAAAACCATCGCTTTCAGGGACTAAAACACATAAATAAAATTGTACATACAGTGTTATTAAGTTTCCTTTACCATCCAGTTATTTGAAAATTATGAGTTGCTTTTACCTTATTATCTGTCATTAGCTAAAAGCCCACTTTTATAACATGTAGAAAAATAATTTCTTGTCCACAGAATATTGGACTTAAAGGGCCCAAAGGTGACAATGCCTTGCCCCCAACCTGTGCCTTCTATTCCCATGTCAGTAATTAGCAGCAGCACTGTTCCCCTGAGCTTAGACTTGGTATCAGAGCCCTTTGGTGGTGCTCTAGATAACAACCCCCAACTGCTTGGAGTTGGGCCTCAAAATGAAACTTGTTTGCCACCTTAGTCAGTGAAAGCTGAAACCCAGAAGAGCAGAGTGATTTCCTCAAGGTCCTGCAGTTGATTAGTGATGGGAACTCTCTACTCCCCTCCTACCCTTCCTGCCTCCCCTGGGCCTCCCACAGCATTCTCAACAATGCCTGTCCTCCTTCATAAAGAGGAGCAAAGATAAAGGAGTTAGAACTCTGGCTGCCATGCTCTCCCTTGGGTGAGGCTATCAGGTTAGCCTGACAACTGTGACATGAACCTGTCCTCAAGGTTGGGGTTTACACAGTGGGCCTACTTCTGAAAAGTATGCCACTGACATAAATAACTCTGTAGTAGCTATGATCTTGCTTACCCTCAAGATCTCATGGCAGGCAGAAGGCACCACCTCTTCAGTAGCAGGTTCCAGAAGAGAGAGCTCAGATGTGAGAGGACTCATAGACACAGACTGTAGAATGAAAGCCCCCAAGTTAATTAGCCACAGGGAAATTCATATTCAAGTCACAGGCAGATGCCACTCTAGATATCCATCAGGATGGCTTGGAAACACAGCAAGGGAGGAGGAGCTGGTACCCTCGTGTTCTGCTGTGGGAATGAATGCCTGTTGGTACCATCACTCTGGAAGGCAGTATAACTGGATGTTTGCAGGGCCTGCTGCCAGAAGCTCCACTCCTTGGTGTATATCTTACAGATGCACGCTCATGTTTACCAGGGGTGTGCCACAGTGACACTTCACCCCAACCTGGAAATGTTCCAAACATCCATCCTGAGTCAGATGGATAAAGACATGGTTCACAGGCAGTAACCATGTGGAGCAAAAATGAACATGGAGCTGCTCCCAAACATAATTTGAGAGAAGGAAGCCACTCAAAGGTATCCACACAGAAAGACACACAACAACAGATTCTCCAGCCCTGTTACTAAATGCCAACTAAATCTTGCTTTAAAGTGTGTGGACCATGGGTTCCGTCTCCAGCACAGCAGGACAAATGATAACAATTAATGTGGGGTGTGAACATGAAGGGCTGATTTACATGGAATTGCTGCACATTTGGCCAGAGACCACATCACACTCCCAGAGCTTGCTTTGCTCTGAGGTGCTGTCTACACAGTGTTCTTGTCTATATCTAGACAAAGCCTGCAGTGTCATGGTCCTGTCTTTGGTAGCTTTCTCAGAGTAGCTTTTTGATGAACTAAATGTGTGCCCATCATAGTGGGTCTGACTTCCTGGTTTATTGATTGGAGGTGAGAAGTGGAATATCTGTGGTCCATGTCCAGAGTAAAATGTGCCTAATTGGATGCATGAGATGACATGGAAGAGAGTCTGACCTCCCACTCATAGTGGGGTGTATTTATGCTTTCTCCAGGGGTTGCCTCAGAACCCCCTTGCCCAGTTCTCTGAGTGTATGTGAGACTCATCTCATAGTCCAAGGTGGGACATGGTGTTTTGTCTCAGTAAACTGAAGGTTTAATCCTATAAATTAGATAATTTCTTCAGAGAGTATAGCATTTGGTACCCTCTATCATTTAATGATACCATTCATGCAAATGGAATTTGGGAACTTGGGACTCAGATGCTGACTTCTCCCCTTCCATACCCATCACTGAGTTTGAAGCCAGATTGGTCAACATAGTGAGTACCAAGCCAGCCAGAGCTACATAGTGAGACCCTGTCCCAAAAACGGAAAAGGAAAAACAGAACGCATATGTATTTACCAGGTCTGGGCTTGCTCCTCACTGTTCTTCTCTAACAGTCAGCACTTGATTCCCCTGCTCTGTCTGTCTGCCATCACAATGATGCCAGGAAATGCTGTCCCATTTCTAGAGGAGTGGATTACCTACTTTTCTATTGCTGTGCTGATACACCACGACCAAGCAATGTGTTTAGGATGGGCTGGAATGAAGGCTTCCTGTAGGTCTGAAGAGGGCTTTGAAATGTTTCAGACTTTCTCCTAAATGAGTCCTCTCCTAGATATGCTCCTCTGAGCACAGTGTGAGGGGCTGCTTATATGTGTGTGGATGGTTAGTCCCCGTTACTATAGAGCTAATAAACTTAGCTTATATACGTAGATGGAGCTTCTGTTTGTTGGCATGCACTTCCTATCATGCACACAACTTAGTGTGCTAAAACTCATGCTGCCATGTTTTATCAAACAAGATCTGTTAGGTTTTGGTTCATATAAGTCTTTCCTTTCTTTGATTTCCACCTGACAGTCAGTCTGTCAGTCGCTTGCCCCTTTGCTGTAGACTATTCAAAGCCATGTTCAATGGGAGACAGGCGGTAGTAAAAGAGAGTGTCTTGACCAGCCACATCTTAAGCAATTCAGTTTCAGGAGAAGGAATGTCTGGCCCAGAGTGTCCTGTCTGCTGCTGGATGCAAAGACTGCTGGGTGGCACCATGCTATTTGCCAACTCACCTTTTTTCCCCTCTGTAGGTGATTGCAGCTGAGGGGGAAATGAATGCGTCCAGAGCCTTGAAAGAAGCTTCCATCGTTATCACTGAGTCTCCTGCTGCCCTTCAGCTCCGGTACCTTCAAACACTGACCACTATCGCTGCAGAGAAAAACTCCACCATTGTCTTCCCTCTGCCCATCGATATGTTGCAGGGTCTCATGAACTCTAAACAGAACAAGTAGTGCTGTAGAACTGTGCTGAACCCCTGCCAGGGTAAAGTGGGGACCAAATTAGCCTTTCACTTGCAGGGAGATTAGCGGAAGCTTGACTTGACTGTCCCCGTTTCTGTATGTAGAGTGAGGGTCTCTTAGAAGGGACAGGAGTCCTAAGAGCAGCTGAGAGACCCACTTTGAAGCTATGAGCTCAGTAGTAGAGTACTTGCTTAGCATGCCCAAGGCTCTGAATTTCACTGGCTTGTAAATACTGAGAGAAATGGTGATTTATGTATGATAGATAACCTTTCTCTTTACCTACAACTGCCTTTATTCTGTGGTAGGCTGGAGCCCTCTTCTAACTTTAAGTCATTCCAAGGCCTATGTGAGCAGTCAAGCCAGGGCAAGGGACACAGCCTAGACATGCCACCCACCCCACTGGGTAAATGCTCTGCACAGTGAAGACTTCTGTCACCCCTCTTCTCTGGGCCACCTGTGCCTTCCCTTCAGGGAATCTTAAAAGAAGGATATTTCCCCAGTGTCCATCCACCTGACCTAAGCTGTGTTTTGGAATAACCCTATCCTCTTTTGTGACCCTGTCAAAACCTGAGAAAATGGTCAGAGTCAAGGAAGAGACTTGGCTGGCCACCCCGGGACCGTGCTTCCCCACTGTGGGGTCCTTTTGAAAATAGAATGTGCAGTTTTTACAAACCCTTTGAGCCGCCCCCCCCCACCGCCACTTGATGATCCCTTTCTGTGTTGCCTTTAAAAGCAGCTAAATTCTTGTCACAGAAGTGCTTTTTCTCACTCTTTCCTATTTCATGTATCAGGTTTTTAAATCATTTTGATTTTTTAAAAATAACTTTCTACGTTCTATAAATAATGGTTATATGCCCATTTGAATAGCTTTAAGTACCGAAGCACTTTTTAAAAAGTCTTAAGACAACCATTATATTTTTCTCTCTGCACACTATTAACTGTTATATACTGTGAAATAGTGTGATTAGTAATCCCACTTAAGTAGTTTAAGGAATTCCTAGCACATGGAGCATCTCATCCCTGATCTTGGGCAGACACCCATGCTGAGCTCTCAGTGCAGAGGGAGCATACTTGTGTTTGACTAGGTTTTTTGTTTTTGTTGTTTTCATACAAAACACTGATGACTGATGCCAGTAGAGGAAGTGGTCAGTCCCTCTGAACCATAATTTCTGACTGTGACATCTTTCCCTTGGTCTGGAAAGCTTGGTGAGGACTTTTGCAGCATCTTTGAGGCTCTTGATTCACCCGGGGAAGCCTGAAGCATGGCTACCTGTGGTGGGAGCAGCTCTGTTCTCTTCTCCTAGCTGTGTATGTCAGGCCCACGTGGAGCCCGCCTCCCTCCCTTCCCTCCCTCCCTCCCTCCTACCCACCCACCCTGATTCTGAGCTGTTTTCTGAGGTGTATGGAGCATTTCCACCCAGTACTCAAGTTGCATTTGCATTTTGAACTTAAAATGGTGGCTTCATCTGTTTGGAGAAGGGACGCGCCCTGCACTAATGCCCAAGAAACCCCCGTGTCCTGGTGAAAACACTTTCTCAGAGGTGGAAAATGTATTATACACTTGTCTAAATTTCTCCCTCCAGACACCAACTGGCCTTTTCTTCTGTGCCTAGTGAATTAGTAGCCCTGTATGCTGAAGTTCAGTCACACTGAGGGGTGGAGAAAATCTAGCTATGGGAAGTGGTGATGGTGTGAGGGTTTTCCTAAGTCCTCACCTTCAGCTGTGTACAATAAAGTGTGTACCCTGTAATGTTTTCCTCTGTGAGAGTCTCGTTTCCCTCTGCACTGTTGCTTTGAAGAAGTTCATTTGACTTTGCATTTACACTTGAGGGACCCTTAAACATTAACTTCAGTTTTAGGTTCTCAAACCTTACTGATTTAGGGCAAAGAGAGTTGTTGATTGACCATTTGTAACACGTTCAAACCACAGGCCTGAATAGAAAACATAAAATACAAAACACATGGTTAATGTGCTTGCAAGTACATTGTTTCTTGTGAGTCCCCACACTGTCTATTTCCCCATACCTGGCCACCACCTGTGAGTCCCCACACTGTCTTCTCATGCCTGGCCACCACCTTTTAGTGGTAAACCTTTATTTCTTCCCAGCACTTAAAACAGGGAGGCTGTTAATTGGCTACAGAAGGCGGGGTTCTCCACTAAGCTGTGCTTCTTAGCATCGGGTTTTCTTACCACTTAAATGGAGTTTGAATCCTGTTTGTAAGATCACAGAAGGCCTCATAGGACTCTACAGATTCCCAGCTCAAAAATCATGCAACTGAGGGTTTCTCCCCTGCACCAGTCTGCACCACAACCTTGGATGGTTCTATCTGCTGTGCTTTTGGGGGTGTGTTAAAAGCTACAGAGCATCTTTGAAAAGGGCACACATAGGGGATCACACAAACTTGTGTATTTAAGGAGGGGAACACCAATCCAGCTACCGTGTCTCTGGGGACATCAGAACTCCTGGACAACCTTATTCCTATATCATAACTCTACAAATACCCAGTTACCTAAAACAGCTTTGCACCAGCTAAAGATTACAGTCAGGGAACAGTCATTTTATCCAGTGCCAAGTGCTGTGTGCAGCGCAGCAGGCTGCCATCTTTCACTTGAATTCATAATCCTACCTGGTGTGTGGACCAGGTCAAGGGGAATCTCTGGATTCATCAGGACTATTTGCCTCTTACAATAATGCCCATGACATCAAGTGTAGAGCAGCTCCAGGCTCAGATGAGGCTCAGATTTGTCTAAAGGGGGCACTAAAAAGATGCATGCAGCTGTTTTTGGATCTGCCCTGTAACCAGAAGGGTTCTGTGAGAGAAGGCTGAAAGCCATGGTTAAAACTGAGGTTCTAGGAATCTAGAGACTTAGCACTCATAACAGAAGTTGAGGATCTTCCCTAAAGGGAAGGGTTCTGGGGGGAGGGAAACTAAGGTGGCTCAGTGAGGTGGCACCTGAGTTCAAGTCGCAGGACACACATGGTGGAGAGAATCAACTCCCACAGGTTGTCCTCTGATCTCCACAGATCTGCCGTGCAATGCACCCACACATACAAAACAAGGTATAATATTTTTTTAAAGATTGTTGCATAAGGGACTAGAGCAATAACTCTTGCAAAGAAAGCTGGGCTCCCTTCCAACAACCACATAGTTAGGGGGTATTCACCACAGATGACTACTCAGGCACAGCTTATAACCAGCTGAAAGTCTTTAGTCTAGCTTTCTGGGACAGGTATTTGGGGCCCAGATGTGTCCCTGAGTGTCCAGAGCATGAGTTTTCTGGAGGCCAAAACCACGTTCAGGCAGCCTGCTCAGGCTTTGGGGAGCAGGCTTTGCAAAAACAAGCAATTGGACAGAAGCTGTAACAGTTAGTTCAAGGAGGTTCTGTACAAGCAGGCAGCTAGCTTGTACACTAAGATGACTTAGCCGGGATATCCTGACCTTGGGTTCCTAGACTAGAGCTGGGTAATGTCCATAGGCTTCTCCATCAAGGACACCAAATTCTAGTTAAAGCTGAAATGGCCTCAGCAAGAATACAAGATGGAGGAACCTCTGCACTGTTTGATCTGTTATGATGAAAGACCCACAGAGTGCGTGGACCCTCACGCCCTGACTCAGGAAAGGTGGCCCCCCAAATCACTCACGAGAAGCAGTCTTGATGCAAAAGCATGAGGTCTTTTATATTCCAGTGCACTGGAGTTCACAGCCATACTCCACGTGGGGTAGAGGACTGGGAACCCTGGGTATAGGGTTCAGACAGCTTTTATAGGGTTACAACAAAGCCCGCACATCATAAACCAATCATCTCACAGCATCCAGTGTGTACCAATTAATTTGAACTATCCAAGCCTGCACTTAGCCCAGGAAGTCTGCTTTTGCCTGGGCTTCTGCATGGGATGACAAGGCTCATTTCCTGTGTTCACTCACTCACAGGTGCTATCCTAAACAGCCCTGTCATAAACAGTCAAGAATGTGACCTTTTGCCTACTCACTGCTAGAGGACAGGGTCTGGGGAAAGTTAAGCTAAATTTTTCCATCCTTACAATGACAGACTCTCACACCAGCAGCAACTCAGTTCTAGGGGACTCAACTCTGACTTCCTTAGGTACAGGCACACATGTGGTTCACATATGTACATACAAATGCTCAACAATGCAAGTAAACAAATCCTTAAGGTTTTTCTGGGGGAGAGAGAAACAGGCTGGAAATTGAACCCTCTGGGAATGACTGACTATACACCACAAAGAATAGGAGTTTACTGTTAAGCTTTTTATTCTTAACATCTGACCCCCCAAAAAAGTCAACAAAATAGCCATCCACTGTGTCAACTTGCCTTCTCCTCCTCCTCAGAACCCCTGCCTTGTTCTCTGGGATCCCACTAAGAATGCTCAGGAGAGGAAAAATTCACCCAGCAGCCAGATGGACCTCACTGACTATGATCTCACCAGGAATGGACATGAGGGTTCCTGAGAACCGAAGAAAGGGTTTCCTGTGGTCTTGGAAGCAGCTCATTCTCTTTCTCTCCAGGGAAAACATTTACAATCAACAAATTTGTCCTTCCCTCAGCTTGCTGATCCTTAGTTGAGAGCCAAAATGCCTGTAGACACTTCATTACCTTGGTGATGCCCAAAGCCAACAGAGCCGGTGGGGAACCTAGACCTGTAGCGGCTTGAGTCAGACACCAAAGCCCCTAGACTCTGGATTCTCACAGATGCTCCTGAGGCAACTTGATTCAGGCTGGTTCTTCATCCACTTCAAACCAGCACAGGGTAGGCTTACTCCCACAATGCACTAGGCTTTGTACATGTAATTTTCCACCACTTAGCAGGAATTCTATCCCAGATAGAGAGCCAACTCTGCAGGAGACCATCGAAGTTCAACTCGATGAACCGAATGGGTTTACTGGGGTCACTAACAGGGGCAGAAATGACTCGGAGACCAATGCATCACCAATGCTCACCCTAGCATAGGTGACAGGAAAGCTGGGAACCTGGAGCTCACAGAGCTGACCACCTAACAGGTGGGAGAGTTGTCTGTTCCAGGCTTGGAATATTGAGCATCTCTGGGGCAGCCTGGCTTCTCTGAGCATGTCTCCCAGCAAACCTGAACAGCTTACATGAACTTGGGCAGGGAGAGACCTAATGGATCTGGTCAGCTTCAGGGACTTTCTGCAACTTTTGTGTTGTCTACTTCTGGAGCTTAATGGGTGGAGCTTCCTGAGTTTCCCTCCAAGATGAGCTGTTTTATCTCTGGGAGAAAACTGTTCCCAGGCCCTAGGAGCAGTCTCCCCTTCTGCTAAGTGTTTTCAGGGTGTTATCCCTGCTGAGTCAATTGTTTTACTACCAAGAGGCACCCTTTGGAAGTAAGCAAGACAGGCATAGAATCAAGTCCAACTCCTTGGCACAGTGTCAAGGCTCCTGCCCACCCCCAGCTGCTCTGCCACATGCCTGCCCCATGCACCACTCTCCCAACAGCACCCACCCACCTTTGTCTCTGCTAGACCCCTGCTATGATGACCTGCCTCCACCCCACCCTGCTATGATGACCTGACTCCACCCTACCCATCTCCTCTTCCACTTGGAGAATTCCTCCTCTGTTGCCCTCATCGCTCTGGCAATGACTCAGAGTCTCTGGAGACAGAGCCCCATGGGAGCCATGCCTCTAAAAAGCTCCCTAGACAGTTTCTGGGCCCAGCCAGAGCTGGGAACAACAGTGTAAATACAACTCTCACAGGCTTCCTGGCATCCAAACCTCACCCTGGGCTCTGTTCTGTAGCCCACATACAGAAGCTCCATTCTGTAACATGAAGTGGCATGGACCAAGACGGGAAAAGGTGGCCAAAAGAATCCAGAAGGAAGGAGGGGAAGGCACAGCCCTGTCCTCGAGTCCCTTGCACTGGCCGGGCACCTCCAGGAAGAAAAGCTTCTGAAGCAGTTCATGGGAGTGCCCAAGAGGGAGATTTGATGTTCTGAACACCAGCAGAGATTCATGCCTAGAGGGACCACACTGGACACCAAGGAATACCTACCTCCCCTGTGTTCCAAAGGCTACAAACTGGGGCAGGTCCAGGAGCTTCTCTGGCTATGGCAGTTGCCAAGGCAGAGATCTCACGAAGAGAGTTTTGAGTAATAGAATGAACAGAAGGGACCACCTGTAGAAAACTGGTAGAGGCAGACACCACAGGAGATGTCTCTAGACAACACACCTTGTCCACTTCCTACTCTGTCCAGGCCAAGTCTCCTCCTAATGACAGTACGCAGGATCAGGGAGGCAAAACTCACACGCTCTTAAGAGAGATACAACTCATTTGACAGCTGGCTCAGAACACAAAGAAAATATTTTTGTGCCCTACATTCACAACAGCATTGTACACAACAGTCAAAAGGTGGAATAATCCCACCACCCATGGTGGATGAATGGACAAATGACATATGTATATATGACAGATTAGTATTCACCCATCATTGTAGACCAAAGGTTGCTTTTAAAAGCCTAATTTTAAGTTAAATAAGCAAAAAAAAAAAAAAAGACAATAAATATTGCATGACTCCTCTTAGGTGTGAGGCCGAAAGAAAAATAGAGATTTCCCAGGGTGATGGAAAAAGAGAAGGGGGGATTATTAGTTAATAATAAGCACTTAGAAGCAAGGGGTAGTAGTGCATGCCTTTAATCCCAGCATGTGGGAAGCAGAGGCAGGTAAATCACTTTGAGTTTAAGGCCAACCTGGTCTTCAGGGCTAGTTCTAGGTCA